TAATAGCAGAAAGATATTTTATATAGATGGACCAATATAATATACTAAAGTTCTTAAGAATATACTAAAATTAGTATAGTTTTAAAATGTATTAAATCAAGTAAAAAGACAATGATAATTTGTTTTATATAATATAATAATTATTGGTGAGTCTGTCATTAATAAAAGTTAATATTTGTATAATAATAGTAAGTATTTATATTATGTATAAAACAGATTTGATTATGGTTAAAAAGATTTAGATTGTTAAGATTGTTACTTTTATATATAATTAGTTTCAATAATTATATAAAAATCTGACAATAAAAAAATGAACTAAACAAAAAAATAAAAATAAAATAATAAATTATAATGAGACTATTATATAACATATTATTATTTTTGTCATTATATTACATAATTCATTGATTTGACAAGCAAAAATAGGTTACATGACTTAGTTTGATCTTTCTCTAATTATATTATATTTTTCTATTATCAATATGTCTTGTCTCAATTATAACATGTAATACTTTGGCAATTGATGTTAGTGCAATTCACATTATCATTTTCCATGTTATAATAGATTAAGTTATTTTATTAATAAATAAGAAGTTTAATCTTATAATTTCAAAAGAAATCAAAGATCTTTATATATATTATATGTTTGATATGTATAATATATATTGTATATATAGCACGGCTAATACTGCACCTTCTATTGGTATTAAATGGAATCCAAATCTCAAAAAAAAGAAGAGTAATGACAACAATAACAATATCAATAACAACAATGATAACAATCCCGATTCCTATAACAATAATAACATTATCACTAAAGAAATCAAAAAAACTGTTCCTTCCTCTAATAACAACACCTTGACCCACAACTTCATCATAATCGACATCCCAACTCTCGTTACAGAAACATTCATCCAAAGTAACTTTAGCTACGCAAAATATATAGACAATCTTATTTCTAACTATCATAATGGTATCCTCCCAAACTCTGAGTAGGTATTTATAGCTGCTTGACATCATTTAATTAGTATAATAGTTTAAAATGTCTTTTCTAGTAGAAGTTAAATGATTATTATAGGCAAGCTAGCATTTAACTTATTACATATTATATGTAAAAGATGTTGTTTCTTTTCATAATGTATACCATGCTATATACAAATAAATAAGGAAATGATGATTACCTACTTTAAATATATATATATATATATATATTGTATATACAATAGTAACAGATAATAATAATAATCGAATAACATGATTTAATTTGTACTATTTTTATTAAAAATTTTTTAAACTTTGACTATAGATAGCCCATAGCACATACTTTGATTACTAATATTTTATTTCACTTCCTTTATTATCTATAACTAAGTTAAAGTAATTCAGCATGAACCTTATTAATTTTTGATATTATTCTGTATCAATTTTTTCCCACTTCTCCTCTATTATATTAATAAAAACCTCTTGTAACACAAATTTTTTTCATAGATCATCAAGTTAATTCTTTTTTTGACTCTTTTTTTCATAACTGATTACAAGTTCTCTATTGGGTTAAGATCCAGAGAGTATGATGATCAATTCGATACACAAGAACAATAATTCTGCAATAAAACAGTTATAAACTTAGTATAATGTTTAGGATCATTATTCTGTTTAAATGTCTATTTGTCATCAAGAATCTGATTTGCCTGTTCAAATAATTTTGGATAGATATTTCATGATATAAGTTGTTATCCATTGGTCCTACAAAACTATAAAATTCAACAATTCCCTTCTCATATAATGCTCCTTACACATGCACCTTAAACAGGTGTTTCATGATTCTTCAAGTTGGCACTGGTTGCCTAACTTTGTAGCAAACTTGAACCATATTTCAAAACATTTGAAAAGTGGACTCATTAAAGAAAATTATAGTATTCCATCATTTTTTTTTTATATTTTCATGTCTAAACAAGCCGATATTGTTTTGCCGATATTGTTTTGCTGATTTTGTTAAAAAAGAAACCTTTTGTGGAATACAAGCTTTAAACCCAAGTTCTTGAAGATTTGCTGAACTGTCTGTGGCACAATATTTAATCTAGGATAGAGGGTCTCTGCTATTTCTTTGCTCATCACTTTCTTTTTTTTTTATCACAATTCTATCAAGGTATTTTCGTTATGCAAGAAAAAACTTTTTTGGATGGCCTGAATGCTTATCTTGCTTTAGATCATTTGTTTATATGAGTTAAGCAATATATTTGTATAATGTTTTAGTAGGGTATCCAGTTATCCTTTGAAGTTTAGTAACTTCCTTATATTCATGTTTCTATAATAACTTGATGAGGAGATGTCGCTTTGCAAGAAAACTCATATGTAATATTAAGCATGCTAAAAATATATATATTTTATCTTAAATATTGTAATAAACATACCTCTAATTCAATTTGGTATTAATAGGGCTCCTAACAATATCACTTAGATACCTGTTTGATACTAGTTCAATACTTAAATTTACTATAAATTCATATGAGTAGGTCACAATTCATATATTAAATTTACTATAAATTGGTACCATTTTGATATCACTTTGATATTGGTTTAGTACTTTTCAAAGCCCTAGGTATTAACATAACATAAAAAATGATCTGGTAATGAAATTTCCAAAAAAAAATAAAATTGTCATTTTTTTTCGCCATCATTGTTTAATAGTAATATAATACTTTGATAAAGATAATAGTTATGAAAAAGATATTATCTTTATCAAAATAACTAAATATATTTACATTGGTAAAGATGAATACTCTGGTAAAAAAAATATAAAAAGAATAATAAATTAAATTAAAGAATATTCTAGAATAGAAAGAAATAGTTAAGTAGATAAAATAGGTAAAAATAATATAATAAATTAATAATACAAAAATTCTAAAATAAAAAGAAAATATTTTAAGAGCTAATGCTAATATATTTGTACAAGGCTAAGAATATTTAAATAAGTGAAGATTAATTATAACAGTATATTAATAAAAATTAAACTGTTTGTCTTAATTTTAATTTAATCTTTATTAATATTAAAAGTAATATAAAAAGAATTGCTATTATTTTTGCTTGAAATATTAAGACCAGTTATTAATTCTTGCCTAAAAATATTTTTGAATTAGTTTTAATTTGTTATATTCAAGCTACTTCTATTATAATTAATAAATCTTTTGTTTTTATACAAAATATATCTGTTAAAAGCAGTATTTTTGTTAAAAGTTATTATTCTTATTCACTTTATACTATTTTATTATTTCTTATACATATTCTTGAAAATAAATAAATCTTGTATTAATTGAAAACTTTAGTTTTTTATATTGATTACTATTATGCAGTTATTAATAATTCTTTCATTCTGAATTTGATTCAATTTTTCTTTGCAAGACTTTCAAAAACATGTTTTTATTGGAATTTTTAGTTCTGATACTTTTTAAAAACTTTTATTTGGTTTAGGATTTCTACTGCTATAAGTTTGATTTTAAATTATTTAAACTTTAAATAGAAGTCTATTCTTTTCTAAAAATTTTCTTTTAATTTTTTGAATTTGAATAGAAGTTATAAGAATTTTTAAAGCTTGTTGAAATTTGATTTTGATTTATATTTTTAAAATATTATTATTTTATAATATTAATTATTTATTTAAATTTTCATTAAAAAGTATTATTGTTTATAATATTTTTTGTAAAAATTAATATTGTTTTAATTTATAATTTTATAAAGTTAAAATTCATTTATAGTATTTTTTTATTAAGTATAAAAATTTAATTGGTTTTATTAATTAAAACAATAATTTAAGCTTTTAATGCAAGAAAGGTTCTTGAATACATGTTATTTCCAATATAAATAAAGAAATAATAATAATAATAATATTTATAATGTTACCTAAGTATGGACCCACCCACGAGGTGTAAGTTGATATTTGGGTAAAAATAGGCAGGTAGCATCAGTTAAATAGACTGTTCATGTAATGACTATGTATAATCTGTAAAATGATTAATAAAGTCACACGTGTATCGCACTTAGCTCAAATATATATATATATATATATTTATAATGTTATATAAATATGATTTCCATAATATTTAAAAATATCTTATTAGACCTTATTTATAAAATTTAAATATTAAAAATAATTTTTTATTTTATAATAGTATGACTTATTCATTTTTATTCAGTGTTATATTACGGTTTATTTTAAAATAAATAATGTTTTATGTTTTTGAAAAAACAAAAACAAAATCTTACGTATATAATTATGGTTAAATTTTTATACAGTATATGTACAGTAATTACAAGAACTATATGTATTTAAAAATTTATAGAGACGTTGCATTCTTTTTGGAAGTCGCTGAATATCCAAATGCTATCAAATGGCGCATATATTATACATGAGCCTATTATTTATATGTTTATATTATCTTGCTATTCTACGAGGCTCAAGAATTTCCGTCTCAAAATTTCCCACCATAGTTTCTCACCTTAATTTCACCATCACGTCAACAAGCTGACATACGTGATACAGTACCGCGTGCGCGCCTGCGTCACAATTACCTGTAGCAATCTCATATATTATAAAAGATAAAAAAGATAGATATAAAAATATGTTTATATAATATATTTTTTTATTAAATATACGATTAGAAAATGCAAAATTGGGAAATTTGATTAAAACATGTTACGAGTTCCGTAATAAATATTTTCTCAAAATCATTGATAAAGCCTCTAGGAAAAGGAATTCAGTGGTTATATAAAGAAAGCACAAGTAAATCATGCGAAATATAGAAATATAGACTATACACCCTGAACAAATTACTACTGCGGATAATGTAACAACCCAGCAAGCTCGAAAAAATTGTTATGTTCTATATAATTAAAAACGCATGTAGCCTAACAAGAAGGGATATTTGAAAAGTATTGCCAATATAAATCAAGTAGCTAAATATACACAGATAGATGTTATCGTCTTTATAATAAACCACATAATTTCAAACATTTTCTTCAACATTTGCAGCATAAATTGAAAGCTTCCTCTTAATAACTCCATAAAAAATAGGAAAATTCTCTGAAAAATTCTATTAATACGTTGAGAGAATCTTTCATCAATAATTTGAAATACTTCATAATCTTCTATGACAAAATTTTCTTTGTTGATAATTTTCTTCTCGTAAGAGTAAATTCTGCTCTTGCAAACAACAATATTATTATAAGAATTTGATGAATTAATACGTAAATCATGTAAGCCAAAGCATGGTCCTTTGCTTCTACACCAAATGATCGCCTCCTTTTTAGAAGAGACTCGACTTAATATCGGAATTGCTCGATTTGTTAGTGAAAATATAAAACTATTTGATGTTTCACATTGATGATCAAAATCATCATCATCAAGTAGTAGAGAAAATTTTTCTTTAACACCACGCCATTCTAATGGATTGTATCCTCCAATTATCTCCCCTGAATTGCGAACTTTAATGACGACAAGTGTTGGTCCTTTATTATCACAATTTCTATGGAAACTTTCAATCCCAAAACCCTCACTACTAGCTCGATAAATAAGCTTAAATTTCAAAGGTATATTTCTAAATGGGTATGGCGTCTTTCGTTTAACAATCCAACTTGCAATTAATCCTGCATCTTTGGCATTAATGATATTTGATTCGAATGGATATTTTCTTGATGGTAAAATTTTTGTTGAAGGTCTAAAATTAGGATCCAAAAAATATTGAATAACTTCATCATCTAGACCATCTGGTAAGATATCCTTAAAATGAGCTCTAACTTTTACATAGTCGCTAGGTGACATTTGAAAAAATCGAATGTAAGAAATACAATTACGCAAAGTATTTTTTAGGTCCAAGAAATTCTCTGGTGTCCATTTTGTTGAATCATAATCTAAAATAAAATTGGTATTTTCGATTCCCCAATGAATTAGGTACTCCCAAATTTTAATTTCGTCTAACTCTAGTTCATCATATTTCAAAAGATTAATGAGGTGAGTTTCTTTCATTCTAATGAAATCTTCTGAATTAAAAGTGGCTTCTGGATTTTTACAAGCCAATTTTATTGCAGTATTATACAATTTAACGAAGTTATTATGTTGAAGAATTGTGATAACATCTCTTGGATTCCAAGCCGATTCGTCCTCGAGCAAGCATCTTTCAAGACGTCGATAGACTTCAAGTAATTGAAGCTCGTCACTTGCAATAACAATATCAACGAGACTAACATTGTTTCCAACGGAAATTGCTCCTGTATAAATGTATCTATTTACAGTACGTTTATATTTTAGAGATAGAATTAATTTTATCATCGTTTTTATAAATGTCATAAAAATAAACTTACTTCAAAAGAACTTCAAATACCGAAGGTGAAATATTAGGTTTGTTAAAAATTGTAATTCCATTTTCTAGCCTTGCCCATCGTGAAGACAAGGCACTTTTAAAATAAGTTGATCTACTTGTTAAAATATACTTGTGCGCTTTGAATTCTTTAACGTTTGGCCCTTTACCAACTATAATTTTTACGTTATAATCATCATGATTTTCAAGTAAATCTGCAAAATCTACAATTACAGAATTTTCCATGTTTTCAGCAAAAGGATATATTGCAAAGGGATCGTATTCACAATTGTTGGAATTTTGCACGCCTGCCACGTATAATATACTGATAAAGTACATATGTGACTTACGGAATAAAATTTCATGTGTTGCATTTTGCATACAATATTAAAACTGTTAAACTTGTTTAAAAGTACACAATGAATCCTGATATGGACACAAAAACATAAGTGACAAAAATATCAAAGTTAGATGGATATGTACGTTATCAGATAAATACAGTATGCCAACAATGCAAGATTATTTTTCTTTTACTATATATGAAATCAATGAAAATACAAGCGCTATATCCTATTATTGTATAAACGAAACCTTTTTCAGCAGAGCAGAGTTTAGGTTGCCATTTTAGATCGCAGGTGTAGTACGTCCTTACCGCACTTGTGAGTCACCTGTACAGGCGAATTTGGTTTAAATTTTGTGCTGGAATAATTATATTTTAAATAGAATTTTGGATTTATTTTCCGGCATATAAAAATTCGGAAATATATACAAATAATAGAACTCCTAATTAGAAAAGCTTTTCAAACATTGTTACGGGTGTTATAACCGGCCAATCCTTAGCAAAACCTCATGCAACGCATGGTGAGGTCATAGTGGCAGACTTCAAAATCTTATAATTTGGCTCATTCTCACACTTGCAAACTTTGTTCTTAAACCAATCCTTGAACCATTTACTACCGTCAATATCCTTAAGTAAAGCCAAACTCTTTAGTTTAGTCACTTAACGAGTTACAACCATGTTCAACAGGCTTAAACAAAAGGTAATAGTATTTTTAAGTTTTATTTATTTATTGTTTCTTCTCGTCTACGGCTATTAGAATAAAACTTACATTATACTCACACCTACATATTTACATATTTACATATTTTTGACATTCTATCTATTATTAGACTTTTTTTTCTCATTCGGATCTTAAAGATATCAAAAAAAATCAACCATACTCAAGAGAATGGGTGATAAAAATACCTAACACATTGAAGTACTCAGGCATGTTCGAACCGTTGACTTGTATCCAGATTTCTAACGTGTGAAAAAACCATGGGTTGATAGGTTAAAGCCAGAAAAAATGTTGACCATATAGTATATACTGTATATAGCGGTCATGAGTATTTGTACCATTCCAATTTCCGCAAAATAAAGGTAAACGTAATATATTTCTAAAAAAACTGCAATACTAACTTCTTGTTTATTCCAATTTTACCGCATTTTATTGTTGCTCTTTATAAATAATGAAGCAGACGAGCAAAGCTTTACAGAAAAAATAGAACATATTATTTTAGGAATATTTAAACTTCAGCGGGAATAAATAGAAGGATGTTTTATAGTAAAGAGAATTAAAATCAATAAACAATGAACCGACATGTCATAAATAGAATACGTAATGACGATTAAACTACTCATAAATTCGGTTTAGAGAAAGAGAAAAGGCTGACCTTTTATATGATTTGTATGGACAGAAAACACGTCTGTTAATTGTTTACTTTGAAAATTTGGGTATTGACATGGCCTCAAATTTCAAGAAATATAATTTGTAATTGTGATTTATTCATGTAATATAATCAATCACTTGAAAAAATAATGAAATTCGAATCAAAATAAACCTCACAACCTTAATATAAGCCAAAATATAAAATGATTCTTCTATCTCTATTGGAGTTATTTTTGTAACAAAATACTGTAGTTATAGGAATCTCTTTCATTCATGCTTCAGGAGATATTCGCTCTTCACTTCAATATACAGACTTTGCCTTTTTTGATATTGTTATTGATTCAAATGCTATATACTTTGTACTTTTTAATATTTTGTTAATTTAAAAAAATTATAATACATATATTGCAATTGGATTTTGATATGCCACTTGCAACACAGAGGATCAGAATATGCAAGAAATGCTAACTTGGAGAACAGTCGTCTTCGCAATTTGAAGACATAATCCTGTAACTACAGCTGCTTATCACAGAAATTGTTAACGCAAGTAAACATAAGTTATGTGTAAGTTGTATCAAAATATTAATCTCTTTTCATAATTGTGCGGCAATCTGCTAATTCTTAAAAACTTAAGCCAAGAACTTAGAAGATAGTGCATGAACATTTTAGACTATTACACCGTCTCCCAAAAAGAACGCAACACCTGATCGTCGATATTTAAGTGTTAAAATTTTGATCAGATCAGATCAAATCACGGCGAAATTAACAGTATATACAGTGTATAGTCTAATCTATTCAGTGTATACGATAGAATAGTGATTAAAATAATAAAAAAAAAATTTATGATGTAATTAATAAAAATTTACTGTTGCGCGACTTTTGGCATTTTTGGGTAAAAATATAAAAATACAAAAATTTACTCAAACCTTGTATAAACCAAATGTCCTCAAGACAGTTATCTATAGAGAAGAGGGCAAAGGCTATTACCTTATTAGAAGAAGGTTATAGTTTACGTCAGGTTGCTGTCAAAATTGGCAACAATGTTCATTATTTCACTATATCTAGACTTAAAAAAAATATCTTGAAACAAATAAATTAGAAAATAAACCTATTCCTGGTCATCTGCTTAAACTTACTCTACATGAGGAACATATTATTATCTGAAAATCCTAAAAGGAGAATGCAAAACAGCCATGGATATATATAGATCCTTGAAAAAATATGAAAAATAAATATTAGTGTAAACACAATTTAAAGAATTCTTAAGAAAAATGAATTTAAAGCTTATACATGGTGCAAGAAATCTTTTTTAAGTAAAACACATAAAAAAATCTGATTAGAATTTACAAAATTACATAGAAATTGGACTATAGAAGATTGGAGTATGGTGATCTGGTTTGACGAAACTAAATTTCAACTTTTTGGAGCCAAAGGATGCAAATATTGCTGGAGAAAATCTATAGAACCTTTAAAGGATCAACATATAATTCCTACAACTAAATTTAATAAAGATAGTATTAATATTTGGGGATGTTTTACTTATTACAGCACAGGATATTTATTTAAGATTGAAGAAAATCTTAATGCAGAACTTTAGACAAATTTTGAAAGAAAAATTAATGTATTCATTAAGATATTATAATTTGGCTCCTATAAATATTATATTTCAACATGATAATAATCCTAAACATAAGGCTAAAATAGTTCGAAGATGATTAAAAAATAATAAAATTAGAACTATTTCTTGGCTATCAAAATCTTCAGATTTAAATCCAATAGAAAATATCTGGAATAATGTGAAAAGAAGAGTTAATGATTTAGAGATTA